GAGGTAATATGAGCTTCAGTGATGGAAAACATCTTAGTTAACAGACTAATAGGCATTTCTTGAAAGAGACATTTAAACATGCACCTTGTATGTCTTATTTCAGTTGACAAGCCTCACATAACACTCATGTAACACACCTTGGCTGAGGCAGTCCGCCTTCACTTCTAGCACAAAATCTGTCATAATACTTCTTAAGCCCTCTTCCCACAAGGCAGATAAGCTTCCCTGTTTCTTAAGACTCTGATAAAACTTGGAAAGCAAATTGGCATAGTCAAAAATTTAACTTTTGCAAAATTTGGTAGAAGAAACTTTAGACCATAAATCCCTGCTACAGAACTCAAGCAGTTAAAGGGCTCCTTGGGCCTGATTTTTTTTATAGCCTGTCATTTCCATGGTAGTTTTTCTTGAGCTCTGCCAAATGTCTTTTGGTTGCATGCCCCCTACTTCTTCCTCTGGTGAAATGGCAGATTAGAGTCTGTGCTGGAAAGTTTAGTGATATTTATAGTTAGGGGTCATGGTGGTAAGACATTGCTATCAAGTCTCTTTTGCCACCTTCCTCCCCTTTTCAACTTATTTTCCAGTTTATTGATTCTGCCACAGAATAAGGGTCTTAGGAAGTCTATCACAACTGCTGTTCTGGTGCACACACCCCTCCCACAATCATCAAGTGCCATTGTTCACCTACTGTAAGCCATGTACTATAGAATTTACCAAAGGGAAAAAAATCAAGAAATCCTTTTCCTAACAGAAGTTTAGAAATGTATTATTATTATTATTATTATCATTATTATTATTCATGACAATGATGGGATGACACTTAGCTTCTTCTTTCTCAAGTACACTATGGGCTTTTGATGTTTCCATTTCTTACTAAGTGTTAAAGCAGACACTCAAATGTTGGACAGATGAGTCTTGAGTTTGATGTGCTGAATCAGAGGTTAAGAGAAACTGTGGTCAGCCCTGAGTAGTGTCATGCTTGAGCTGTAAGTAGCTAGTCTGAATTGTTACTCTTGGTTCATGGATGGAATTTGACATTAAGGCACAACATGAACACAGGCATTTTGTGTTTGTGCAGAACTGCGAGTACAATAAATACTGTGTGAAAGCAGGAAATTGTACCGGCTAACCACAGTCATTTAAAAATCACAGAAAAAATGTCGCCTTCCATCTCCTCCCTCCTCATCTTCTTCCTCCTCTTTCTCTTCATCTGTATGTCACCAATGGATTTACTGAGCGTTCTTTCCCTAAGTTATATCCCCAAAAGACTTGTGGTGTTACCTGCATAATTTCGAGTGGAATTGGCAATTGTAAGGAATGTTGGCAATGTTATTACAGAACCACTATATTTTCTATTTTTCACTTAGTTTATATTTTATATTTTTCAGGAGAGATCACAATTGGAAACAAAATGGTTGGGTGTAACGTGCATTCTTCCTGCCAGTTGCCTGGGTCCCGTTGCTGCTTTAGCCTCCAAATATTAATTATGAAGCTGTTGACCATTTTCTTGGTTTCTCATGAACTAGCTCTGGCTTAATTATTGACACATAATTACTAATATATATTTTTATAAGGACTTATCTTCCCAAGGACGTCCTTCTGATGCATCCTTTCCTCCTGGGAGATCACATGGTAATGACTCTCTTCACTACATTTCCCAGAATCCTCCTAGACTCCTAGTCTCACCTATCTTGTTTCCCTATTGGCTAACAGTGCTTTATTTATATATACAGAGAATGACTTCCCCTATCAGTTGGGGATGGAAACAAAAGTTTTAACTCCATTACTATAGTCTATGGATTGCTTTTACATATTTGGAAGACCTAAGTAAGAAACTTCAATTATTTTGAAAGCATCTTTTTGGAAAAATAGAAAAGTTGTTACACATTCATAGGTTCAATCCCAGATCAAAGGGATCATTGAATATAAATCTTATAGGATCTTTTTTGTGTCCAGGACCTGAATTTGTGTCACTTCCACTCAAATTTAGGAGCTGATAGTCATGTCCTTTGATATTGAGTTGTTTTATTTGCACTTTGCTTTTGTATACTGTGAAGATGTGCTGCTCTCATTGGTTTAATAAAGAGCTAACAGACCAATAGCTAGGCAGGAAGAGGTTAGGCAGTAGAGTCAGACTGAGAGAATCCTGGCATGAAGAAGTGTGAATTTGTCAGGAGACTCAGGTAGAAGCAAGATGAATATGCTGTGCTAAAAGAAGTTACTGCTACACAGTGGAGACTAAATAAGAAATATGGGTTAATTTAAGATGTGAACGTTTAGCTAAAAACAAGCCTAAGCTACTGGCCAAGGACTTACAATTGATAATAATATTCTGTGTGGTTATTTGGGAGCAGGATGGCAGGATAGAATATTTTGCCTATAGCATTTCAGTAATTAGCAGCAAATATTTCTTAGGTGTCTCTACAATATTCTCTGGGACTTAGAAACTTTATTCCTACACCAGAGTGCAGAAAGAACTTCACAGGCCCACTTTGAATATCTCATTTTTAAACGTGGTGCGTTTTTTAAAAACTGGATTAACAAACTCATTGCTTAGTCCTAAAGTAAGACCATGCCCTTCAATCTGGAGAATTTGAGTACAGAGTATTCAGTAACTGGAAATAGCTTTTGACGAGAGAAGCTGTAAGCTTGAAATATACTTGATAATTCCATATAATTTTCTGGTTTTAAAAAGGATGAAATTACTAGGCAGATTTTTTTATTTTCTAAATAATATTCCTTTAAGCATGTCATCAAAAATAAATGTTTGTTAACACCTTTTTCAAATTGCTAATTAGTAGATGGCCAAAAATATATTCCCCATTAAAATTTTATTTTGCTGTGCTTTGGACTCCCAGTCTAGCCTGTGAAGTACATTTGAATCATAGCCTAGTCATACTTGGCTTTTCAATAAAACCCTACACTGTTAAAAAAAGTCACACTTTGAAGTTATTTGGCAGACATCTTTTTTGCCTTCAGCAAAGTTCACTTTATAAATATAATTTTTATTCTCTGTTGCTTAGTACCAAATCTATTGTTTATTTTGTTGTGGCTGTTTCTGCCTGAGAGTCTCTATGTTACAATTTCTTCATTGGTTGTAAGACATAAATAGGTTTACCCCATTGGCCTATGTACATGTACAGGGTCTTTAAGGGTAAGTGAGACGTAATCATAATCAAAGCCTTATTAATTACTGTTACAATGAGTTAGCTTGACCATATATATGAACATCTTCTCCTTTGAAGCCCTGGTGAATGGAGGATAGTATAACACAGATGATATTAAAGAGGAAATGGGATAATGGGAAATTAAGTAGTGAAGGAGTGGGATGGGAAGGTAGAGAGGGTAGGATCGGGTAGGGTGGGGATAACTAGCATTAAGAACATTTTTCAGAGCCATATGAAAACATAGTATTTCAAAATTTTCCAAAAGCTTAAGTGGATTCACTTTGTATGGGGAGAGATAATGATTCTCTCAGATATGATTTCAAACAAGAAGGCTGTGCCAAGTATGGGACATTGCTCTTTGAGTCATTGATCAAAGAACTGTTATTTCTTTGAAATAGAAATAAAGATCTACTGTCATTGTTCTGTTACCCACTACATGGTAAGAACCTATTGCAGAAGAAAATACACACTGGATACCAGGATTCGAAGAAATCAAGTTAGTACTGACATGGAAGCTTCTTCCCTAGCTTTCATAGTGTTGGAAGGAATTAGGTGCACTACTGAAGAAGAAAAGTTAGCAACAGTTTTATACAACCATGAAATATGCAAGCTACAATTAACAACTAACCCAAGAAGATATGCCCACTGATTTGTTAGTGGCATGAATCTTATTGAAGTAACTAACCACTATATGATTAGATTTAAGGCCCAATCCACATAACAAAACTCCTCCTTTATACTATAAACATTACGAAGAACCCATGGTTGAGGAGACCACAGACCTTAGGGAAGCACCTTCTAGTATTATTTTGCTAAACAGACAGAGGTTCAAAGTGCCTTCTAAATATTTATCTCTGTACGCATAGATTAGTGAGGCTCTCAGCAACCTCCAGAGAAGCTTTTTTTGTAACAAATAGTGCTTAAAACAGACACAACTGGTCCAAGACAGAAAAAGAGTCACTGTGGAGAGCTCATTCTTAAACAGGACATCTATCTATATGTTACCTCCCTCCCTGCATGACTCAGGGAACATTTTGGAAGAGGAGAGAGGTCAATTGTATAGTTGAGGAGGAGTGCTATGAAACACTACCTATAGGCATGATAGGTTTGTGCACTCATTAATTCATGGAAGCTGTGGTTACTTGTATAAGGCCTACACAAGATCTAGCTTAGCAAAGTCGAGAATGGCTAGGAGAGAGGCTTGGGAAGTCTTAGTTGAGTTTTGCAGTCAAAAGTTGCCATGCTCGGGTAGGGAGTCAGCTTTCTTCAGGGTAAAGGCTCACTATAGGTGACCTTGCTTCTGTGAATGACCCCCCATGCACATATAGACAATGTTGAAGACTCAATGGACTATGAAGAGAAGACATGAAGTATAAAGGGGGTCGTGGCAAGGGTGTCTGGTACGGTTGGAAAGGAGTAAAGGGTGTTCTCTGACCAAAGTACATTGTACACATATATGAAAGTCTTACAAAATGGATATGAACAAACGAATAAGTGCTCAAAGTTTCAAATCCATTGCAGACAGCTTGATTGCTGTTTTGCCGATGCTGACATAGCTTTGAAGATTCTTAGCTAGAGAAAGGTATAATAAACTTTGCCCTTATAATTATTGTCTCCATCCTTCCTCTGTGTCATAAGAGCCCCTGTTGCTTTTTGGCTCCAGGTTCATTGAAAGAACCTGCCTCAATACATAAGGTGGACAGCTACTGAGGAAGTCAGGACATCCCACTCCTGCATATGCGTATACAAGTATAAGCACTCACACAAGTATGCATATCCACACACATGTGAACATGTGTGCACATCTGTAAGCACACTACACACACACACACAAAGTTGTTCAGTCACTCTGTATTTATGATGACAGAGTTCTCTTTCCACTATATTAATTACATTGTATATTAATCACAATTACAATTGTTTGACCAGTGGCTCAGGCTTCTTATTAACTAGCTCACTCTTAAGTATTAACCCATAACTATTAATCTATGTATATCCACATGGCCCTATCTTACCCAAGAGTTATCCTATCATCCTATTTTCCCAGTGATTACATGTGTCTCTCTGGTGACTGCTTCTCTTCCCAGAATTCTCCTAGTCTGGTAGCCCTGCCTATGCTTCCTGCCTGGATACTGGTCAATAAGCATTTATCTATCAACCAATAAGAAAAACATACATTCACAGCATATAGAAGGACATCCCCCATCATATTTTTCTTCCAACTTCTCTCCACTCCATTGCAGTTTACCTTAGTACAGGATTAGCTTCTCTTTGAAGGTCACAGCTCTTCAGAAGTTAGTATTTTGGGATTTCTCTTGCAGGTTGTTTTAGCCAACCTTTTTTCAACTTTATTTCCTGGGAGATCTGTGTCAACATCAGGAAGTTCTTTATTGTTTCTTGTGTTTTCCTTATACACTGCTCGCACAAAACAGAGGTCTGGGGGTTTCAAATGCCTTTTTGCTTCTCTCAGACTGGCCCAGACACCAGGCCACAATCCAGTTCCTTGGAGGGAAAGAACCCATTTCATGTGTAAACTATTTTGAAGATCCTAATGTGAATCACTGAGAATAAAGCAGTTTGTTTTGGTGAAAGACTTTCAGGGAATTATGAGTGCAGATGCTATTTAAAATTTAAAAAAATGTTACCAGCATATACAGAGGCTCATTGGACAACCATATCCTTTCCAGATTTTTGTGTCCCTGAACAAGGAATCGGACAGTCACATGGGTAGTAGCACAGTAAGTTTATAAGAAAAATGCAAATCACTTAAGATTGCCAGTCATCTCAAAGCAGGCAGCAGTCAGGAAAAAAATCAAGATGCAAATAAGCCCCTGATTCACCAGGACCTGGCACATACTTCTCCCTCTTGGTGACCATGTGAGAAGCATCTTGACACAAAGGGCAAAAGCTGCTGTGTGAGGTGCCCACGTAGATACAATCCTTCCTTTTCGGAGAGATTCTGAAAGAAGAATGGTAAAACAGGTCATGAACCATGCTTGAGGACAAAATATATGTGAGCTTTACCTGACTACCATCACTCCTCTCTCAGTCATAAGCTTGAAAAATTCACCCCATAAACCATCTTACACTACAAAGGGGAGTGCTTAGCCAAGAAAAATAAGCAAACCAACTTTTCTTGTTTTTGCTTAATTTTACAGCTTTACTATTTGAAACTTGTTTATGGTCACAGATGTCAAAATTATACAAATAGAACTATTATTAAGACACTTAAGCCCAACTCTCTTGAGAGGACCACACCTATCTCTTGGGTGTGTACTTATCTTTACTTAATAAATCACAGTGTTGCTTCAACTGACTCATTGTGAAATTCTTTTCTGTTGTGGTGTAAGACAAGACCCTGATCACACCTGAACAAAGGCCCCTGAGGGAGGAAGTCATCAGGCTACACAGTGAGATCAAGCCAGGCTGTTTTCCTGTGTTGATGACATTGATGAAAAAATGTCTCTCAGAAGGAAATGAACCAAACATGCAGAGGAACCAAGTTCAGGCAGGAAGAAAACAATACTCTTATTTCAACAGAAAGATAAGACCAGATATCATATCATGCAATGACAACAGATCCTATACCAACAGAAATATGAGAACCAAGAAGAACTCAAGGAACAAAAGATTCAATAGGAAAGAAATATTCAATATAAATGCTGGAGGGTGGAGATGGCTCAAGGGTTAAGAACACTTACTGCTCCTGCAAAAGACAGTGAGCAGTTAAATTCTCAGCACCCATACCAGATAGCTCATAGTAGCCTGTAACGTCAAATTCAGTGGATCCAATGCTCTCTTCTGACCCCCATAGGTAACTATGCAAGTGTGTCTGTACACATAGGAACACACAAATGCATACAAGTAAATATATCTTATAAAAGGTTAGACAAGGAAGCTGAAGAAACTACTTGTAACATGGAGCTAAAGACAAGAAAATTAAATACAAGATAATCAAAGAGGAAACACAGACAGTAACATTAACTTACAAATTCTAACATCTACAGAAAAAAGAAAGAAATAGATAAAATCATTAAAAGGGAAAAATAGATTACCCAGAATTATGAAGCATTATTTTGTGCATTAAGAAGTCTATGGTGCTATGGTGTTGATTTTAGAAACATGCATTTTGTACTTCCACCAAATATTGGTGTCCTATACAACTCCTAAAACTGTGGAGATTTCTGGAGTGGCATGTCTTTTATTTCATAACGAGGTGATTGGTAGCTGTGGGCTCTGGTTAGGTTCAGGAAGTAGCTGGTTGCTAGGAGAAGCAAACTTACGATTACAGGTGGGAACTTACATCTCCATTTTCCAGGTGAAAGTAGGATGAAGGTTTACCTCATTTTGTTGGTTTGTTTTACTATGGAGCTCTGGCATCCTGGAATTCACGATGTAGACCAGGGTGACCTTGAACACAGAGATCCACCTGCCTCTGCCTCCAGAATCCTGGGATTAAAGGTGTGAGCCACTATGCCTGGCTCAAGCTGACAACTGTTTAATCAATCATATCTAAGTAAATTAAAGTAAGACTTAAACCCCATAAAACAACAACAATCTCAAAGCAGAACAGCATTTAAAGATCCTTGGGGTTGCAGATGGGTTGAAATGCTGGCAGGCTGGTATATGCAGAACACCAAGATGTGTCAAGTCCCTTGCTCATAGCCTTCTGGCTATTCCTGAGAGTACACTTTTCTAATAATTAGGTATCAATGAAACTCTCTCCTGAGACTGTGGGCTCTAGCAAATCATCAAAGCCCTGTATAGGAATATGGGAGCCTTTGATTTCTAGCCAATCCAGAAGTTGTGGGAAACCTGGGACCTACTAATGATTGACCTCTGATGCAGATTCAGCCTTCTGGGATTGAGCCCATAATCTGTGGTGTCTACATTAACTTTAGCTAATGTCAGAAGTGAATTGATTTGTAGCAAGTCCAGTAGCTGTCTGTTAAAGAAGTGAGTTCTTCAGTGTGTTTCCCTTCCCCCAACCCCCAAATGGTATTAGAGAATTGAACATAATATGAATGCAAGGAAATGTTCCTCTATACAAAGACCTATTGAATGGTCCAGCAGAATCTATAAAAATAAGCTGTACCAAACAGTTCCTTGTGAATTTCAGTCATAAATGACAAGACAAGTACTTACAGTTTTCAGATGTGGCAGGCAGTAGGAGAGTCACTGGAAGGACTAGATTCCTCCAAAGCAACATCAGAAGCAAGGAGTCTATGTAGCAGGATAGAAAGACAGGAGAAATTCTGAGGACATGAGAAGGAAAAGAGCCCCTCTTCCAGGAATCTGGTTGAAGCTTCTTGCTTACAGTTATCAATAACTCTGGTTCAGTTAACACCTGCTTTAGGTCTTTCTCCTTTTGAGGCATGAAACTACAACGTCATTGAGAAGGGAAAGGTACGTGCTAAACACCTTTGTGAAGACCTCGTGCCTCTTGCTTTGTCTTATCAGATTCCAGTTCCATCCAAGGCTCCCCTGGAGCTGCCTTATCTCTTTATTAAAAGAGAGAAAAAAGTGGGGAAAAGTTTCTTAACCATTGGAGCTATAATCTTGAGAGCCACCAAAATATGACTAGTGCTAAGACAATGAGCTGTGATATTTTCTTAAGACGTGTGTGCTCTTACTTGGGCCTGTTTTCCACTTTCCTACTTTCCTGTGAGAAGCAAATAACATTGCTTGGGTTTATCATACTTTATTTCTGAGCACTGCTCTTTCTCCTAACCCTCACGCAAAATATATAACACAATATATTCATTCAAACCTCCAACTTTGCTTCAGCGTACTGGGTAGTCTCAAATTTCTTTTTGGTGTTGAAGCCACAAATCTGTTTTGGCCTCAGGCAATGTCCCTAAAAGATTAGAGCAATTCCTTAGGTTGATGAGAATGGCAGAGTGGAGCTTTTTCTCAACCTTCTTACCTCTGGCAAGCAGGATAAACCCATACCATCATAGTAGAAAACCAATTATAGTAAAGAATATAGTCAACACCTGGTGGTGGTGGTGGTGCACACCTTTAATTCCAGCACTCGGGAGGCAGAGGCAGGTGGATCTCTGTGAGTTTGAGGTCCGGCTGGTCTACAGAATGAGTTCTAGGACAGGCTCCAAAGCTACACAGAGAAACCCTGTCTCAAAAAAAGAAAGAAAGAAAGAAAGAAAAATAAAAGAAAAAGAAATGAAAAAGAATGAAGAAAAAAGAATTTTTAGACTAAGACTTCAGAAAAATAGCTTTCACATTGGTACTGAGAATATGCTCCACCAAAATAAAAATGAACAATGAAGAGCAGGTCTTGGAAGGGGTCCCAGGTCCATGTAGGGGGTTAAGAATCATCTGGGGTCTACAAAAAAGACCTGTTCAGACTGGATAGGTCAGCGTAATGACCAAATTATTTCAAAAACATAAATGAACACAGTTGTGCCTGTCTATAACATCAGACTTTACTGATAATAATGAATTAATGACCTATGCCTTTAATTCTCTAAGGACTACTGATTTCATTTGGTAGACATGGCCATTGGCAACCACAGATATTTTCTTCCTATTTTAATTGCTAATATTAAATCTTTGGTCCCACATTACACTTCACAAAGTGGTGTGTGTGTGTGTGTGTGTGTGTGTGTGTGTGTGTGTGTGTTACAGAATGGCTATAAAGAGTTATGGGGAGCCCTTATTGAAGCTAAGAGAAGAAAGCTGACACAGATTCAAAGGGAGTCAGTGCAGGTGTTTGGGTATTAATTTAACAAAGTCAGTAACAGAGCAGTTCTGAGTCACAGGGCAGTTTTAGGGCACAAAGTTGAATCCATAAGTGGCAATTCAAGTGGTCCATGTCAACAAGGGATCCTGGGCAGTGGAAGCCATGGTGACATCAAGGAGTTTATCACCTGTCAATCCAAGATGGTGAGGTGATAGGTTGGTTGGGCTGTCACATACCGCTGTAGGGAGAGATTTTAGATACCTGTGCAGCTGACCATGCATGCTTTGGGCGTGGCTAGAGGTGCATAAGGATGTGGCAATAAAAGGCTGTGCAGGAGAGAGGCAAGCTCTGTTTCCGGCTTCCTGTCTGGTCTTGGAAAGCTGCTGGCTCACCTGAGTTGCCAGTTTCTCTTCTAAGTACCTTCCACAATAAATAGTTACCTATACCCTCATCAAGCATGTGATTTATTTTACAATGACACACACCCCTTTTAAAAAAATGTGATCCAGGTAAAGCTGGCGGGGGGGGGGGGGGCGTGAGGGAGGGGCCATGCCCCTTGGTTAATCTGATGTGCTTGGTATGCTAATATTTTTTCTGATGTGCTTTGTTAAGTTCATTATATCTGCATGTTCCAGATTTATGTGATAAGTTAATATTGCAGATAGTAGTATTTTATTTGCATAAATAAGTTATTCTACAAACTTCTTGCTTGGTTGGATATATGGTAGTTGTTTATGTGCACAAACAAGGAGAAAGGCACTCTGCTTCAGTATTTGTCCTCAAATGAGGTAAACTGCTATTTTGTGAAATGGAGTCACTCCTGGCAAGGCACAGCCTGAAAGTGACTGTTCCATACAGTGGAGAGTGACTTAGTGTAGGGCAGAGCCTAATAGCCACCATTGCCACTGAGATGAAAGTAATATAAATGCTTCATGTACTTGAGACATTTGAGAAGAAACTTAAATTCTTGGGGGAAATGTTTGTAGATGAGCCAGTGGAACATACAGTTAAATATTCTTAAGTCAGAGCAAAACCAAAATCTTTCAACAAGGAAGTGTTATTTTAGATTACATAGAACCTGGCACTCACATAAACACATACACAAAATATGATAAGTATTAAATAATAGTTTAACTAAACTTACACAATGATACTGGAAAGTTAACTGAGTTCAGAGAGGATAAAATAGATAGAATCTTTGTTTCTGTAAGAACAACCATACTGATTAGTCTCAAAATAGAAATTTCACAAGTAACTGTATGAGTGATAACTCTGAAGAACAGTGGGAAAACATCTGTTGGAATGGGTCACCATCGGAGTGTGTGAGACAAGGCTGAAAAGATGAATGGTATCACTAATGTGTAAAAGAGCCCTATGCATTTGTAATTCAGTGAAATTGAAACACTAAATTGGAAAAAGCAGCAGAAAAGAAAATCATTGCCCCCAACAAAGCACACATTTGTTGGGGTAATCTTTCTGTGCATTGTGTAAAGACATGTCTCTATTTTACCTCACCTGCCTAAGGCACCTTCTGATTGGTGTAATAGAGAACTGAATTATCAATAACCAGGAAGGAGGGGATAGACAGGAACTCCAGGCAGAGTAAGAACTCTGGGAAAGAAACTGAGGAAGTAGATTTGGAGGAAGTGGAGGTATGGTACTGACAGGAGGTAATGAGTCACGTGGCAGAACATAGATTAATATAAATGGGTTCATTTAAGTCTTAAGAACTGCTTGGGAATAAGTTTTAAGAACTGCTTGGGAATAAGCCTGGACTAAGACCAAACTTTCATAATTAATAAAAGGTCTGGCAGCCCAAAGAAAGGTGTGTTACACATGTTGTTTGGTTAGAAGTCTGCCCAAGTGATTCTTTCTTCTTCTTCTTCTTCTTCTTCTTCTTCTTCTTCTTCTTCTTCTTCTTCTTCTTCTTCTTCTTCTTCTTCTTCTTCTTCTTCTTCTTCTCCTTCTCCTTCTCCTTCTCCTTCTCCTTCTCCTTCTCCTTCTCCTTCTCCTTCTCCTTCTCCTCCTCCTCCTCCTCCTCCTCCTCCTCCTCCTCCTCCTCCTCCTCCTCCTCCTCCTCCTCCTCCTCCTCCTTCTTACTGAAACAGAGTTTCTCTGTGTAGCTTTGGAGCCTGTCCTGGAACTAGCTCTTGTAGTCCAGGCTGGTCTTGAACTTTACAGATATCCACCTGCCTCTGCCTACTAGGTGCTGGAATTAAAGGTATGTGCCACCACCACCCAGCTGTGATTCTTCTTTAAGAAGTCTAACATTAACCTTTTAGCCAATCTTTCAAGATTTATTTTTAATGCATTTCTGTGAAAAAGAAGAACACCCAGGTAATAGTTTCAAGAGTATCATCTGGACACCAGATGAGTAAACTGTTTTCCAGAAAAATGATTTATAAAGAAAGAATGATTTGCAGATCTGCTGTGTGAGAGTAGTAACAGTTATTTTCAGTACTGTGTCTCCAAGAAGCTTTTTCGTCCCTGGGCATGTTCAGATAGTGCTCAGCATATTCCTTCATCTTTCTACTCTGGATGCCACAACACCTCCACACATATCAAATTAAAGGATTTTCTGTTTCTAAGTATCAATTTGCCTGATGAATCAGGAATAGAAATGTGTTTACTTAGTAGCAACCCATGACAATAAATAGAAAACATTTCAACCATGTGAAACCTAAATGTAAATTTACCTGAAAGTTGTGTATATGGCTAAGAAACAAGTCCCAGGTTTATCAGGTTATGTATATGCTACATGCCTAGCTACATCAAGGCACCTGAAGGGAAGTTACTGATAAAAGTCTGTCTCCTCAGATATTTGAAGTTACACTGTGCACACAATAATGAAAATCTATTTTGTTAAATATTACTTAGAGATGTTATTAACCTTGTTATAGACTATCTTACGAACTAATTCTTGTCATTGTAATTTGTATTGATTTCTTTTCTAGTTGCTGTGACAACATTTCTGACAAAGACAATGAAAGGGAAGAAAAGGAAGGAAGGGAGGAAGAAAGGGGGAAGGAAGGAAGGAAGGAAGGAAGGAAGGAAGGAAGGAAGGAAGAAAGGGGGGAAAGGAGTCATTTGGGATTACAGTTGGAGGTTACAATCTAACATGATTACAAAGTCAGGACTTCAGGAGTGTGAGATAGCTGACTAGTCACATTGCATCAGCAATTAAGAGACAGGTAAGCCGAATCTTGGTGCTTACTTTTTCCTTGCAACTCACATCCAGCATGGGTCTTTATTTTATCATTGTATTGCTGTGAAGATTCACCATGACCAAGGCAACTCTTATAAAGCAAAGTACTTAACTAGGAACTTGATTACAGTTTTAGAGGGTTAGTCCTAAGTTATCATGGCTGGAAGCAGACAGATATGGCACTGGGACAGTAGCTGAGAGCTTTACATCCTGATCCACAGCCATGAGGCAAAGAGAAAGACACTGGATGTGGCTTGAGTTTTTGAAACCTTTCACTCCTAGTGACACACCTCTTCCAACAAGGCTATGCCTTCTAAT